GTTTTTCCTGAGGTCACACAATTAGTAGAGGTTGACTGTTGGTTTTCAATGTAACTTCCGGACAGGTTTTTTTAAGGTAATACATCTATGTGACAGAAGACAACAATATGTCTATACATACATACATTACCCACTGTCACTGCGTCAATGCTGGCTCACCCTATCGCACAGGGAAGAACTGTGCCCTGGGTTTCGAGACTGTCATTCTATATGGAGAAGGAAGCCCCATCTTTCTCCCTGGAGCAGCTGGCAGTTTCTAACTGCTGATCCCGTGGTGGCAGCCCAGGGAATCTTCACTATACTACCAGCACCCTGTATTCTGCTGGGGTTATGCATTGGGCTGAGATTTGCATGGTTGGCAGTTCAAAACCACCATCTTTGGGAGAAAGATGGGGTTTCTACTCCCAGAAACAATTACAGTCCCAGAAACTCACAGGGGGCTGCTATGAGTCGGCATTGACTCGATGGCAGTGAGCTTGGTATTATTATTTTTAATTGTGTGTGTTTATGTCTGCTATGAAACGTTAAGCTTTCCTTATTTCTTCTCTCAACCCTCAAATAGAGGAACTTTTTTTTCTAGTCTCTGTGCAGCCTTTCAGAGATAAGAATGAAAATTTCAAGGAGTTCATGTCACCCGCAGTACTGCAATTGAATTATAACACACAGAAATTCTACTTCTAAAAGACCATTTTGAGTTGGGTTTACCCAAATAATAAACAACAGACATCTTTAGGACCATAAGGAAATCACGTGTTGTAGCGCCATCTGATCGTCCAGGTCTTTACTACAGGGAGGCCAAGCCCGGCGCCTGAGATGGAGGGAGGGACGCCCTCCCTCCCAAGAGGCCTTATCTGCAGAGAAAGTGGGCAGGGTAAGGGCGTGATTGAGTTTGGGGGTCCAGAAGCTCGTCAGTCCAAAAGGAGGTACCAGAACCAAGTTCATGCTTCACTGAGCAATGGAAGAAAAACCAAATGAAGCGAACACTATTACTACAATTTTTTATTCTTTTCTTCTAAAGAAAATGAAATGCTATTAAGTTTTGTACTACTTAATATTACTGCCCCAGTCACCAAGGGGGCCCTGGTGGTGCCACGAGGAGGCTCTCAGCTGGCTCCCTTCTCAGTGGGTGCTTCGAACTCACCCGCAGTTATGTGTGAGCAGTGGCTGGGGGCCTGCTTCCACCAAGACTACAGCCAAGGAACCTACACAGGGCAGTTCCACTCTGTCCTAGGGGACCATGATTCGACTCGACAGCACTAACAACAACCAAGGTCAAGTTTCATAATAGCAGAAAGACCCCAAAGCCCTTGATTAGTCCTTCCCCAATCACAGTCCTTGCCTCTTCGCTCAAACTGGTCACCAGCTAGGCATACAGGCCTGAACAGCAGTTTGGATTACAATGTTTTTCAATGTATATGAACAGTCACACGGCTTATATTCTTTTGTGTCTGGCTCCTTTCATTCACGATCATGTCTTCAGTGGTTTTACGGCCACGGTATTCAGTGCTGATCTCCGTGAACTGAGCTACAAACAGTTATTCCTCTCTGGCTCCCTTCCCCCACCTTGGGGTGTTCTGTGTGGTTCGGTGTCTGACAGGAATCTGGGTTACCTCTACAGAGGAAAATGCACAGTGGTATTAGCTTAGAGCAGAATGTCCCAACACTCAAGTCAACAGGCTCAGCAGCCTCAGGGTCAATAAATGGGGAGCTAATCCACTTTTTTGGCACAAGACTGCTTCTGCTGTGGGTGACACTAGTGCACTTCAGTAAGGCAGGGCGGTGAAGCAGCTGGTGCTCCCTGAGCCTCCGGGCCCACAGTGACTCTTAGCCATCAGCAGATAGCCAGTCAGAAACACAGAACCCTGGAGCCGGACCCAGAACACACATTAAAAAAAAAGGTTCCCGGTGGTTTTGATGTCAAGTATCCCCAAGACTATGTATTTTGACATTCTCAATTAGAGGTCCTCGGCTACCCACTAATGTAAGAAAATCCTCTCTCTATTAGAAAAAAATAGGTTGGAAGATGGGACTATTTTAAACTTGCACTTCTTTAAAACACCGAAAGTGTGAAGTCACTTTCCAATGTGTTTATTTCCTCTCACGTAGCCAAGGAGGCCACGCAGTTTGCTGCCTATCCAATGTACATGCTGTTTTACCGCGCGGTCCCTCACCAGGCCTGTCACCACCTTCCACACACTGCCAACAAGCAAAGAAGTGGTGACTTTTACAAGATGAACGTAAACAGGAGACAATACTGAAACAAACTGACAGATAGAGGATGCTTTCTGAAACCAGGTTCCTTGAGCCTCCTTTCTCTTCCACGTAGAGTGGGCACCCTGGGTAGGAACATCCTTATAGCACTGTCGGCTAAGGGAAGGCTTGTGAATATTTTCCGTTCATACTATTTTCATGTAGCAATTCCGCACAATAGAAATGACAGTCAGCAACTTGCATTCTTTAAAAAAAGGGGGGGGGGTGCTGGGGAAGCAGCAGTCGACAGCAAGTAGGACCCCGGTGCAGCCCAAAGGGGGTGCACCTGCAACTTTAGCTGCTCGCCAAGAGGACAGAGTGAGGGCAAGATGCAGACCACTCTGCAAGAGTGGGGCTTGTAAAGCTCCCGAGCACAGTACATTTCCAGACCTCAGAGAAGGCAGGCGAGTTAACAATGTGGTTTAGAGCTCCTCCTACTGGTACAGAGAATGAATTCTCATCGTTGGACTTTGAAAGGGAGTCAGCTTAGACAGACTAGAGCAGAGGAAAAGGTGAGGTAGGAAGAGGGAATGGGACACCGCCCTAAAAGTTTTTGTCTTTTCCGGTATGTTTGCTTGGCTCCCTTCATGTAAAACATTATAAAGAAAATGCACATTTAATTCTAATCTTGAGATTTCAAATATGTAGCATTTGCTAACAAATGGATGAAAAATTTATGAGAAGAATTTCCATTTAAACCTATTATTGATTTGGAAAGAGGAAATGAAAAACCAGGAGACAAGAAAAAAGTCCCACAATGGCTTCATTCACAAGTAGGTTCACTGAAAATACAGCACCGGCCCGCCCTGGTGTCCCAGAGCACAGGAGAGGTCTCTGAGCAAGCCGAGGGTAAGCTCCACCCATTGCAGAGGAGCCCAAGAGGCATTTATATAACCACAGAAAGGAATAATAATGGCTTTTCAATATTATTATTAAGATAAATATCTGTCGAATCAATGAATACTTAAATGCATATTAAAGTTAAAAAAATATGATAATTGAAAGCCAAGTTTTAAGGAACATTTACTACTCATAAGAAAAAAAGGCTTAAAAAAAAGAAAAAAAGGGTTTCGTAAATGGATGATTTTTCCTTAGAAGAGCTGGCTTATAAGATAAATCTAAATTTGACATCTCTGGTTGAAGAGCTTAAAAAGTGGGCAATGAGAGGTCACTATATCTACTGTAAAATACAATTTGGGACACCCTTGTTGGTATGTCCATCAACAGCGTGGCCCCTGTAGTAGGACTTCCCTGCCAGCCACAGGCGTTCTTGTGGTGGGAGCCCTGGCTGGTGCAAATGGCAAATTCCCCCCACTGGTGCCTGTTGGTCTAAAGACTGACCTTGGAAAAACCGGCCATCAAACACTGTGGAGCACTCCCCTCTGACTCCGAGGGGGCCGCCATGCACCGGGCCCAACAGGTTCTTCCGGGGGCCGTTCTGTCGAAAGCCACAGAGCACCCCTGCATTTGACTATGTGAACACAATCAAGGTTTCCTGCACCCCAAACACGCCTTGTGGCTGCTTCTGACACTGGACAGGAGGATTTGCTTTTCAAAGCCCGCCTTGAAGAAAACAACAAACCAAGCTCTCAGTCATCCACTGTGATGGGGTTGATTTCCACTTTGTTTAGGGCAGTGATTCTTAACCTTCCTCATGCCGTAACCTTTTCATACAGTTCCTCATGTTGTGGTGACCCCCAACCATAAAATCATTTTCGTTGCTACCTCATTACTGTAATTTTGTTACTGTTATGAGTCGTCATGTAAATATCTGATATGCAGGATGTATTTTCATTGTTACAAATTGAACCTAATTAAAGCATAGTGATTCATCACAAAATAATATGCAATTATGTATTGTGAAATATTTATTTCTAATGACAAAGAAATGAAATTTTGTCTTGAAGCATGGTGTCGCATGGGTAAGTCTTCACATTGGGTACTCGTATGTGGGCATATCTGCATGTGGTCGGGCCCACCTGGAGACGGATAGTGGAGCAGTGTCTCAGTTCCTAAGACCATTGGAAATATGTGTTTTCTGATGGTCTTAGGCGACCCCTGTGAAAGGGTCGTTCAACCCCCAAAGGGGTTGCGATCCACAGGATGAGAACTGCTGATATAGGGTCTCTAAGGATGCACATTTTTCATGGGAGCAGCCAACCTCATCTTTCTCTCATGGAGCAGTTGGTGGGTTTGAGCCATCAACCTTGTGGTTAGCAGCCCAACACCTAATCCATAGTGCCACCAGGGCTCCTTTTGGCTGTAAAGTGAGCCCCCCAAAACTTGGTAAAGCAAGCTCACTTCAAAATCATAACACTCTGAAAACAGAAGTTATTCTATTCCTTGCACTCCTTCAGAGCCCAGGAGTGACAGCGCTGCCAAGGTCAATGTGACAGCCTGGTGCTGGTCTCCCAAAGATGGCCATCTCTGTCTCCAGTCTCACGATTTTCACACTTAATCAGAATTCACGCTATTGGGGTTGGGGGCCAGGGGGCGGGGCGGAGCAAAAGGGAGGGAAACCACATCTGCCAGCCCTTCCCAGACTCTCATGAAGTAGCTCTCTCTGCTCTAATAAAGTTCATAATTAAACATAATTGGATGCTATTTTCTGCAATTAGGTGTCTATTGGCTTCTACAAATAGAGAGAGGATTTTAATATAATATAATGAACTACTGCTAGTTTCTGTGCACTTGTGCTGCCCGGTGAACGCAGCATTCAAAGTCAGGGGCCATTCACTCTCGCCGTTTACCTGGTCGATGTGCTTGTCTTCTCTACTGTGGACATGAGTCGGGCCAACGTGTCAGTCACTTTGAGGCTTGAGGTGGAGAGTTCCAGCTTAGAGGTTGTTAACTCATACAACTCGGGATCCACACCTTACAGTATAAAATCACAGTCAGTGACGGCAAGCTGCAGCGCATCATTCAATCAGCCACAATCCAAGATGCACAGGGCGACATTCTGTAAACATCTGAGTCTTTCACAAACACATCTTTAGAACCCTGCCACAGTGCACCTATTTTAAAATTCATAGCTGCTCTTCTCAGAGGATTTACAAAGCAGAAAAAGTTTTTTGTTTTTTTTTAATTGTGGTAAAGATACACACAGGAGAATAGTGGCCAATTCAGTCATCATTGCTCCAAGTGTCAAACACTGACACTGATGACATGCTTCAGGTGTTCCACCTGACCGCTCTCTCTTTCCAAACTAAGAAACAACTTGTTAAAGTTGTGTCCTGATGGAAATACACCTTTAATTCACTTAATCTTTACAGAACAGACCGTCATCAAAGTACTCCCCAAATGTCTATCTGCAGCAGACAACCCTCCCACCCCACTCTAGGATTAGTGTGTGACATGGAAATGATCAGTCTGAAATAAAGTGCACATTATGCAGATATAGGACACGTCCCATTTTTAGACTGCCTGGCTAACCTCATCTTTTGGACCTTCCTCTGTGCCCCCACCCCAAAACATTGCTTCTATTTCCCTGCAGGCCAAACGATTTGGAAACTAATACGAAGTCTCAAATACCAGTTTGAATATATTCTGACCATTTAAGGATATGGTTATTAATCAAAGCATCAAATTATTACCAAAGATAAATTACATATCATTGTTCTTTCTTTAGGTAAAAGATGAGGAGAGTAAAGTATTTTCAGAAAAAAAAAATAGAAGCACTACATTTGAACCAAATGAAAATTCTTATCTCAAGAATTAATCATATATCTATACTTTTGTATCTACACCTGGCAGCTATTGAGTCAAATATCTTATTATACCTCAAAATGATTTATGGACACAATCCTCTGCCATCTGACCTCACTAATATGCACCAAAAACCAAGCCCGTCGTTCCAATGATTCTGATTCAAGAGAGCCCTGTAGGACAGAGTAGACCTGCTCTATAGTGCTCCTGAGGCTGTACATCTTTAGTGCAACAGGAAGCCTCGTTTTCCTCCCAAGGAACGGCTGGTAGGTTTGAACCATCAACCTTGCAGTTAGCAGACCAATGCTTCACTCAACTACTAAAATATGCATATCCCCCCAACTTTTGCCGTGTACTTATATTAAGTAAAAGTGATGTCTACCAAAACACTGAAATGTATAGTGAAGTATTTGAAACAAGTTAAAGTTTAGTAAAAATAGACTAAAAAACATTTTTAACCCTATTTTCTTGATGATACCAACAAATTACTAAGGCTAGAATATGCAGTAGTTTCCAGCATAACAGATGAGTGGACTGTACAGAAGAATCTCTTACAGCTGTCTATTTTCCTTTTAGTTTTTAACCTGCCCTCTAAGAGCAGCAGATAAAAATAATATGTATTTTTATTACATATAGAGATATAAATCATATATTTAAATGAACAACTTTCTTCCTCCTAGGATGTCCTAAGGTTAAGGAAGGCAAAGCAACCAAGCAGGGATGGTGTTCTGCTGACCGGCTCTGCTGATGATCAGCAGCCATCAACGCAGATCTCAGATGTTTACAGAAATCAAACGAGCAAACAGCGGCTTCCATAGCGCCCATCTCCGGCAAGGGAGGAAGGTGACAGAAAATGCGTGCTGACTCTCCCAAGTTTTGAGGATTTCATTAAGGCACAGTTTCAAACTCTATTTTAAAAGGTCTTTTCAGTTCTACGGAAGTATAATATTGGTTGCAATTAAAATGTTTAAAAAAAAATTGTGGCTGCCTGTCTGGGGTTTGCTGGATCCCCAAACACTGCCCTCCTCCACTTTGAAAGGTGGGATTCCAATTAAGCACCGAATTGAAGTTCATGTCTACTGCATGATACAGAATGAAAACTGCATTCTGAGTGGTGACAGGACTGTGTCAATACTAACTGGTTTGGTTTGTGACATACTGGCCACTAAGCCATCAAACAGTAAAGTGGAAAACAACAACAACAACAAGGGGGCAACCATCTCCCCTCCCAGTTCCAAATCACCACCTCCCCTCAAGATCCTACTGGGATGACTAACTTTTCAAGAACACGGTAACTACTTGCTGTTCACTAATAATTAACAAGTACTTTTTTAATGGAAGAGGGTTATTTTTTTAACAGAACCTTAATGAGGGAGTTAGTCATGTAACTAAAGCTAGCCAACCAAGTTTTATGCCAACCTCCGTAAGTCTCACACACAAAATAATGAAGTAACCGCCAGCTAAGACAGAATGACTTTCCCAGAAACAAGTCAGACAAAGTGCAAGCAAACGGTGAAATGGAATACTCCAGGTGTCAATATCTGTAGCTTGATGGTCAATTTTAACAAAACCCAATAGCAATAAAAAAAGAAGCCAAAGCAAATTTATAGTAATTAAATTTATACAGCAGCTAGAGCATAAGTAATGAAAACACTGAAGGGAAATTTTGAAACGATCCCGAAGGAAGGGAGACTGCAATGTGACCATGCTAATGTCACTCCGTGACAGCTCTACATTTCTGACACCGCTGTCTTTCTCACAGCTGTGTCCACTGAGCCGGTCATCAGGCCATTTCTGATCTCGCTGTAGAGTCAAGTTATCTGTGCTCCTATGGGTGCGCTTTCAGGGAGATCGGACACGTTACCAAAGAGTAAATTTAAAGTAAGGTTTTAGGCATTAAAAAAAAAAAAAAAAAAAAGTAGTGACCTCATTTAAGTTTTAAGGCAATTTACCAGAGCAAACAAAATCGAGAGCAAATTGTAAATGGGAGCTTGGTCATTCGCTTTGGAGAACACAGTGCTGAGGAAAGTGATACACTTTGGGGTGTTTTTCTCCATGGATAATTTTTAAATGTCAGACAACTAATTCTCTCACCCAAGTCATTCCAAAGAGCATGTGTATCTGGAAGTCATATAAGTAAATAGAAAAGAGATCATTTTGAGGTAAAAATTAAACACAGGTTGGTTTTTCAACTGATAACAAGATCCTGAAAATGATCATCAAAAGTTTGGATTTGAGGAATCCAGTCATTCTCCCAAATGGCCTTGGGGCTTCCATGTAGCAGGGTTAGATTTCCAAGCCAGATCTCAGAGAAGGTGTGCACCCTGGGTTCCAGGCTCACCCTCAGCGGACTCTCCTAGGCTCCCCCATTTCCCATCATGGTTCCTACCCTGGTGGATGTAGGTGGCAGGGTAATCTCGTAGGACAGAGCGAAACCCAGAAAATTCTCAGGAACCAGGCTGATCAAATGGGCATGATCCCTAGATCACATGTTAGGATGACAGGGACTCATAGAAGTCATATCGAATAAAAGGTAAACATAAAGATGCCATTATAATTTTAATCTTTTATTCAGTTAGAAGATGACAAAGTACATTAGTCCGCTGCTCAGTGAACTGCACCTTCGCAGGGCTGAACATGAACTCAACAGGCACTCCAGTCCGCTGCTTTCCTTTCTAGGTGGTGTCTCAGTCATGACTTTGCACTATTAACCTTTGTAGCAGTCTGTTTTCTCTCTCCATGGCAAGCTAACAGTCTACTTTCTATTGAAGAGCTAACAAGAAAATAGTCATAGAGTTCTATGTGGACTGTATAACTAAGTGCTAGACTCCAATATTTTTTAACCTAATTATACATTTAGCAGCACTAATGAACAATTGAGTGAACCCTAGAATCTGTACTATTACAGGCACTAAACATAAAGTCATCAGTGTGTATTAAACGATTCCCATCATCTCCAAATCTGTTGTTCCTCCCTCCCCCCGAAGAGCTCTACGGCATATGCTTTAAAAACAAGCGTATGGAATATCACATTTTCCACTCAGAGTGGAACGAATCCCTGCCTTTAACGGTCTCAGGGCATTAGACTGCTCTATTTCTAGAAACTACATTCACCTCTGAATATTCCACTCTGAGGATGCTTTCCTTACAATACATTTCACACGGTCATTTGTTGTAGTCAGAGAAAATAACAATAGGTAGATGAAAGAAAAGCATTCGAAAGACATTATAGAGAATACAATCTAGTTGCTTCCTTGTTTATAGGAAAGTCAAGTGATGTGGTCATGCTTTAGTAAATAAACTAGAATCGTGGTCTGAATACTCGGCTGACCTGGGATTGTGGTGGTGCTGCCAGAGCTACTGTCATCCATGGGCCCAAAGAAATCAAGGTTCAGAAGAGTGGAACCTCCACTAGCTTGAAAGTCAGTGGCCATGTTGGTGGGCACCCCACAGAAGGGAAGCCAAGGGAGGAGGGGTGATGTGTAAAAAGGGGTGAGACACACACTTGAACATGCAGGTTAAAATTAGTAGTCATTACATATTTAAAAAAATCAACAGTAAAACAATGTGTACAGTATTAGTTTTTCGTAATTACTAAGGACATTTCTAAAGTAACAATTTAGTTCCGTGTCCATTTTCTTATGTACAATGTTAATAATTGAACACTTAGTAAGGTTTTCATGAGGAGTGCAGTTCTTTCAATCAAAACCGGAAGCCATACCAGAAAAGACCAAATGGGCAAGTGTACCTGTTAAAGGGAAACAATACTTTCGTCTCATTCCAACACTGAGTCACTGTACAGGCCCAAATCCATCTTTCGTGTTGGTAATGTTGGTTTCTAATGAATAGTTTTTCAAAAAGTGACAAAATTGTCAGTTTCAGGATACACACCAACACGTCGTTAACTTAGTTTAAAAGAAAACAGCACAAGAAATGCAGTAACTACCCTACCCTGGTGTGTAACCTCAAGTTGTACTGTTCCCCTTTAACTCTGAAACAGTAATCAGAAATAGTATATACAGTTTTCAAGTTGTTTGTTAATAGAAAGCATGAGGATTTGACCGAATAAGACACCAGACAACAGCAAAAGGTGCATCCAGGCTTTCCTTCAGCAGGGCATGTGATTCAACTGGATGCTTTCCGGACATCCTAGGACCCCGGGGTGGGGCAAAGTTCATAGAGGGACAGGAGTTTGGGACAATGCGTCAAGCAACTTATGAAGCACGAGGCGTCAGTGACTACATTTCTGGGTCCACTTAAGACTTGTGGCGTCCACACACTGGAAACCCAGTACTGTGGGTTACTTACTTTAAAGACCCCACATTGCTGGCCCAATACATGATTCCTTTTTCAGGATTTTTCCCCCCTTCTTTTCTTTTTAGCCATAGTGAATTCAATGATTTCTGGAACTGCCTCATGTTTGGAGGTAAGTTTTAGAAAAGGATCAGGAAAATACTTCATTATCCATTTGTACACAGGTGCTCTAGAAAACATTACTAAGTCTGAAAACTCTGGGAGCTCACAGACATGGCTGTCTGTATCTGCACATTGTTTTTGGTTAAAGTGTTGTGCTTTGTGCTCTGAAGCAGCCTCAAGCCACAAGACATTGCATCCAAGAAAATTCTTTTAAGTGCAAACTCCAGGAAAAAAATTTCAAGTAATTTGGTCCTGGCCAAAACATCACTACCTAGAGATTCGTAAAGCAGAAAGAAGCTGGTTTTCAACTTAAACTAAAATTCTACTTAGTTCCTACTACCTTAATAGCAGTACGGCTAATTGTTGTACTGCCTGGGTTCTTAAGCAATTACTATTCGGAAAGAAAGCCTGAATTTCCAAAGATAAGAATAAGAAGTTAGGGTCAAACAAGAAGGGAAATCAGCAGAGAGAAGTCTGTCTGAACTTTGTAGCTTTCTTAACTCTAGCCCTGGTGCTAGAGGCTCTACGGAGAGACGTACCATCTAAAGGGTTAGTAAGGCCGCTGCTACTCCAGTCAAACTGGACGGGTGGGAGAGACTCCTAGGGTTGAAAACCAAAAAATCAAAATTAATCAGTACAGGTTGTAGCAACAAACGGATTTATTTAATTCTTTATTAATGACTATAGCAAGATCACTAGGCAACAAATAACCTAACAACAAAACTGAGTATTTACAGTGTCAGAAAAACACAAACTGCAGTTATACAAGTGACAGACAGCAGGCTTAATGACATCATCAAGGCTGTCGCCGAGAAATGTGGCATCTCTACATTTTCAAACAGAAACTGATGGACCGGCTCTGTGTCAAGGTTCCAATCTTCTCTCAAATTACGATTCACAATATTGGCTTGATTACACGAAAGATGCTAAAATATTAAAAACAGTACTTTTTTTTTGCTTACTAACATGTCATGTCACAAAGTACAAGTGAATCATGTTCAGTATAAGGTATATCTGAAAATGTTCAATTTATTTTAGATGATTACTAAACATTACGTAACATTTCTCCAGTAACATAGTGCAACAGAGAAGGTGCCCTAGGAGCTCTTGGTTCCGCAGACAAAGGAACCACAATTAGTGGTTGCATAACCCAGCAGTGTGTGAACTTCCATTCAAAGCCCAAGGTCTCTGGTTCTTTAGAACACTCCATAGTCTGAAGAACATTATGGGCCACGAGATTAGAATTACATTTTGAAAAAGAGTGAGTTTAAGCATTTATTTTCAACAGGCTAATTTAGAAATTGTTAGTAATGAGCTATCAGTAGTGATTTGAATATCCTAGGATTTTAAATTGCCTACGTGCTTAAACATACAGATGAGTAAATGGCATGTTATTTTCTAAGCAAGCATTGATTCACTTTAAGAATATTGTTGAAGAGAAAATTTTTTTGGATTTTTCTTTTGTTTTTCTTGGGGAAGGGGCAGTGACAACACTTACTAAAAAACTCCTGCTCTATTAAATAGATCTAGAGATTGGTAGAGACTGGAGGGGCTTTAAAACAGAAAAAAGGGCTATATTTTCAGGTCTAAACAAAGACCAGTCAGTCTCTCTCTTATTTACCATGAAGCTTTACTGTGTGGTCAAAAAACCCATAAACAGTCCCGCTGCTGTAGAGTCCGTTCTGACTCACAGTAACCCCGTGTACTAGAGTAGAAGTGTGCTCTGTAGGTTTCTGTGGCTGTAATGTTGAGATAGCAGATCACCAGGCCTTTCTTTTGCAGCCATTAGGTGAGTTCGAACCACCAACCTTATATTCCTCTCTCTCTCACTGCCATTGAGTCAACTTCAACTCATAGTGATGCTATAAAAACCCAAACTCACTGTCACCGAGCCAATCCCAACTCAAGCAACGCTGTAAGGCAGGGACAGCTGCCCCTGGCTCTGAAGCTGTGACTCTTTATGGGGAGTAGAAACCATCTCTTTCCTGTGCAATGGCTGGCAGCTTTGACCTTGTGATTAACAGTCCAAAGCATGTCCTACTAGGCCCAGGGCTCAGCAACCCGATGGGGCACCTGAAACTGAACCTTCACATGAGCACATAGTCTAGAGGGACTGGGGGTGTGGGCCACCAACGAACCTGCAGTTAGCAGCTTCATGCCTAACCCACAGCGCCACCAGGGGTTCCGTTCAGGTCGACAGTTGGGTGAAAATCATTTGCCCTCCCAAGGACCTTTTACTGTGTGGGAGGCATTATTAATCCGTTATGTTCATGTTTTATGCTTTTCTGGGCAAGTGCTTTTTCTAGGAAAAGGTGATTGGTTTTTGAAATTTAATCCATGATATTATGACAGGTTCACTTGATAAATGACTTGTCTTGGGACACCAATGACAAAATTATTATAAGCAGTTAGCCACAATTAGCATAGGATATCACTAAATTTTTTTAACTGTAAGTTGTCTTTGCAGATAGAAATCTCAGAAAAACCCCACTACTGATAGTTGTAATAAGTGAATAAATTCCTAGACAAAAGATGCTATGGCTGTAAGATTCATTAATGAGTTCAAATCAATCTGGGGAACAAAAATAACATAACGGGTATCTATCTTTGTTGGGATGGCAGCACATAGCTCGGCTAGTACACTGCCACAGTGAGAATTACTGTGCAAAGATAAAAGTCACTGTTTAATGATGCCGAAACCAAAAGCAAAAGGGGAGCTTGTTATATTTTTTGTTAAAAAACAAATCAAGTACTGTTTAGATCCTAAGACACATTTTGCTTAGTTTCTAGCACTACAGACGAAAATACATTCTACTATGCATTCTGGAATTGAGAGTATGGACATGGATATGTTAGAATGAAGACCTACAGAGGCTTACGTCAATTCAGAAATAACTGACCAATTTCCATCGGTAACCAGTACTTTTTTTTGGTTCCCCCAAAATGTCTAAAAACTAAAGTTGAGGCTCACACATTATCAGAAAAAAGCAGAAGATAAACTTGTTAATTTAATATTTATATGTGTGGTTAAAAAAAAAGAAAAAGAAACGTGTGTCCCAGCAGAATAAAAGTAGGTATACGAGGGGGGTACCCCCCCAAAACAGGAAAAAAGCTCTGCTGGCCAGAGATTTTGTAGCACGCATTTTTCCTCGCTAGGCAAGCTTCCAACAAATCGCTCTGAGTTAGTGCACCCAGTGACGTCACCAGGGAAAGGTTCTCTCTGGTCACAGTGAATTTTTTCGTAAAAGCAGTTTTGCTTGAACCTCATTTTCTTGTGATGGCTGATTTAAGAGAACAGCATGTGGCTGTGAAATTTTGTTTCCTGCTTGGGGAAAATGCCGTAGAAACTTTTATAGAGTTCAACACAGCTTACAAGGAGAGGAATATGGGGGGAAAAAGTGCACGAGTGGTTTTCTTGTTTCAAAAAAGGTGAAATGTTGAGTCATGACAAACCTCATTCTGGGTGTCTGTCAACTTCCTGACCAGAAGAAAATGTCGGCAAAATTTGGGCACTTGCTCTTGAAGACCGATGATTGACCATCGAAGAGATGGGGAAGTTATCTGGTAGCAAATTTTTATGGAAGACTTGGGTGTGTGAGAAGGGTCGTTGCGAAATCTGTGCCTCGGGTTCTTCCTGACCAGGAAAAAGAGTGTAGAGTGGAAACATGCCGTATTTTGAAAGAGCAGCTCTGAAGTGACCCTGACTTTTTCCCAAGGTCATTACTGGTGATGAGACATGGTGCTATTCTTAAGACCTTGAAAGCAAATAGCAATCAAGCCAGTGGAAGACGCCATCGTCACCTTGCCCCCAAAAAGTTTATCAAGTGAAATCAAGACGATACTCATTAGTTTTTTTTGATGTGAGGGGGATAGTGCATTTGGAGTTCATCCCACAAGGTCAGACTGTTCATCAAGCTTTCTATTTAGAGGCTCTGAAAAGATTGCATAACAGCGTGGAACAAAAAAGGCCTGACTTGTGGCAGGTAGGGGGCTGATTTTGCCATCACGACAATGTACCTGCTCACACAGCCATCCCAGTGTGCCAGTTTTTGACAAAAAACAGCATGCCTCTCTTGCCCCACACATCTGACTCACCTGACCTTGTTTGGTGCAACTTCCTTTTGTTTTTGAGAATGAACAGGAACAAGATAGGACAGCGATTTGAAGATACAGAAGAGGTGAAGAAAAAAAAGAGGGAGGTGCTATCAGCCATCCAAACAGATGAGTTTATAAAAATGTTTTCAAGGATGGAATAGCAGATTTGACAAATGCATTAAGTGTCATGGAGAGTATATTGAAGGCGATAAGGTTGTTTTGTGGGGAAAAAAATTAAATATATAGCTTTGAAAAAATTCCAGTTTTGGGGGGTACCCCCTCGTGTTTGATTAGAAGTAGCTTTTCCATACATGTAGCAAGAGACTACATTCCTTCGTCGTGCCTCTCCCCCCAAAAGTTAGGCTTTAATGTTGCCAAAAATTTGTATACTTGCCTACAAACGTGGAGACAACAGCTGTTCAACATGCCAACGGGTATGTGTGCACAGATGACACACACCACCGGGCTAGAAGTCACCTCTCTAAAGGGCTTCCATTTTAGGGACACACGTGGTTTTTATTCAGTCATCCAGACTACTCTGTTTAGTCAGATGTATAATAAAACAACAACAGAAAAATGATTAGCTATGAGGTATGCCTAGAAGGAAATACAGAATAAGATCAATTAAATCAGCTCAGGGGAATTGACTAGCAATAGCTCCATCTGATAAAACAAGCGATCGTTTACGGGGTTGTTAATACCTGGAAGTGTGTGGATGGGGAAGAGGGAAAGGTGGCAAGCAAAATGGGCAAAAAGTGGCCTTGACTAAAAACTGTTCCATTCTCAGCAGACGGACTGAGTAGAAGTGATGACATGCTGGGGGAGAGGTAAGGCTTGGAGGGGCAGCTCATAGCCAGCTGCAGTTATTTGGCCACAAAAAGACGCCAACTAAGGACTGACCCTATCTCCTGAGAGATTTGGTCCAAGTTACCTGGCTTGCTGCCGAAGTAGGGCATTTCTTGAATTTATGGCCAGTAATAGACTGGCTTCAAAGTGATGCTTAACACACACTGCAGGAATGCTAGATGCCTCTTGGTAGACCCGACTGAGAGAGTTTGAGCTATGGGATAACTTTATTTTCTAGGGAAAGTTCTTAAAAAACTAGCTCTACAGTTATACTTAACATCCACAAAAAAGGGTGGCGTTCTGCAGTCAAGCAAATTTAAGAAGAGGAACAGAAATGAGAAAGGTTAGTGAACGCAGGACTGACTCTTCAGCATCTGTAACAGGCATGCTGGGACTCCCAGGGAGGGGTGGGGGAAGGGTAAAACAGAGCCGCGCTAGGGGACAGTAGTGCTCCCTGCAACCCTTATTCTGGGAAAGATCGTCCACACATGGGCTTTTGTGTTAGAAAAAGTTGAATATTTATGGTTGAAAATGGCAAGAAAGGCAAGAATATGTTTTAGATTGGTAATGTTTGCTCAGAAATATTAGCCTACTAAAACCAATGTGCCAACAGCACTGAGTCCGTTCTAATCCGACATGGGAAGTGTTCAAAATGGCTCATTCCCCCAGATAACAGGTGAGAAGAGAGATGTCCCTATTAAATTTAGGAGAGAGAAGTAAGTACACCTGTGCTTAGATGTGCTGTGGAGGCACAGGGGAATCAAGGGAAAACGACTTTTCTTTTCGTTTCCTAATCCAAACTTAACAGCACTCTTCAACTCGCCAACAACAGTTTTTTGAGGAAATGAACATACCTACGGAATTTATTGCTTTCTGAATTGGCTCAGGCTGTGGGTGAAAACATACACCAGCAAAGGTGAAACATTGCTGTGAACGCACTATTTCCTGTTCTGGGGAAAACCAAGCACTTAGCAGACTGGTGTGTCAGTCATTGTGATCACTCAATGCTCTGGAGATAACTGGCTTCAAACTTTTCATTTTATAAAAATGAATAAAGGTCAGGAGACTAAGGTATAGACAGTTTTAAGCCAGTTACCATCATCACCCAGTTCTCAAACTGTATCTTATTTTTGAAACTATAGAAAATTTATTCACTGTGAGCCAAAGGGTGTTCATAAATAATCATAATCACATCTATCATCAAATGAACAAGCTCATCTATCAAGAGAAAGAACGCATATGTGCACGCATGAGCAAACATAAACATAGCTATACATCTGGATGTTTTTACCTGGAATTGGTCAGATGTACATGTGTTCATCTCTGGTGCCATGGTGCTTGTCTGACCGATAGAAGCGATTTTTTCTGCAGCAGAGAGTGGCTTCAATGGTTCCTTGGTGGGCTCTAACATACCCTGAAAAAAGTATATTAGTCATTAACACAGGGGTGGGGGCAGAGGGGACAATCAACCTAGAAACTATAAGAAATTTAATGTAACAGAAGGCAAAAGAGAACATAGGTAATTTGGAAAGTACTAAAGGAAACTATTCTTAATTTTGTTGACAGAGAATCTTGTACTGTAATGGGAAATGTTTTATAATTACACCTTGGGAACCTAACATTTTTGAGAGAAGACTTCCCACTTAAAAAACCAAATTTGTTTTAAAGTGCTAAGTTATCACTATCCCAAGAAAACCTAAGCACAATCTGGGACTTTGGGGGCAGGGCTGAGGGTAAAACTCTATCCAGGCCCTAATGACATCACACTTTCTCTGACTGCGCAGACACTGACATTACAGGGAAGTGCTTCATTCGCACAGTGCTGCCTGGGGAGCCGAGAGCTGACTCTGAAGCCCACCATCCTCTGCACATACTCCAGCGGGAGTTCATGGAGAGGGTCCGATCACCACGCAGGAAGCCTGGGCATTCAGTTCCTTGCACTGGTAAGGCAGAGACGCTGTCATATCAGAGGGCAACATTTTTCATATTCTTTTCAGTGTGCTACAAATCTAACACACTTTTTGAGTATAAAGGAAGATATTCAGGTGTGGCAACAAAGAAGAAAAATAATGAACGTTTATGTCAACACTCTACCAAACACTAAATTAGTAATACTCCAGGTGAATAGAAGTTTTTATATACTTAATGATAATACTTGATAAGCCCTTGACTATCTATCACTTAAAGGCTATATCCCAGATATAAAACTCTCTCTTAAACTAGAAGAATTAAAATTACTGGGTCAGTAATACGAACATACTAAATGAAAAAAATTTTTTTCAGGAGAATTTCTCCCCACAAGTAGGACACAGTTACCTAAAGTGACGTACAGCTCCAATTCAAAACAACAGTGCATGTTAAGAAAGACAAATGTGATTAAGTCCAACTGTGGAACTTAATACCTTATACAATATATGGGCTCCCTGGACATTATACAAACTGATGATACATAAATTTGGCAAAATAATGACCCGTGTCAGCATAGTTTTCTAATGTGAACTATCATTTTAACCAGTGATTCTCAAAATATGGTCCCCCAATCAGCAACTTCAGCTTCACCTGAGGTCTTACTCCGTATGTATAAAATTTTAGGCCCGTCGATGAACTAAACAAGAAATTCTTGGGGGATTAAGAGAGATTCTAATGTACATTAAAGTTCCAGAGTCAGTGACTTGAGTGATTATCTCAGATACTATTCCTCCAGGTAAAAGATGGGACATCGAATATGTAAAGCAAAAAAGAGCCTTTGCGGTGCTGTCAAGTAAGCATTGGACTGCTAACTCCAAGGTCAGTGGTTCAAACTCAGCAGCTGCTCCTTGGGAGACAGATGAGGCTGTCTCCTCCTGTGAAGATTTATAGCCTCAGCAGCCCTGTACAGGGTCATTATGAGTCAGAATTGACTAGATGGCAGTAGATTTGGTTTGGAGTATGTAAAACACCCCTTTAAAAGTGATGACTAATGAAAATTTGAAACCAGATGTTGAAAAGTGTTTCTAAAGGAAAGCCATCACAAAGATGGGGGAGAGGAGTGGAATTCACATTCACTAAATATGCCTTCTTACTATGGCTAACATAATGGTCTAATTTTTACTAGTAACAAGTGTAACGAAGTACAACGTAAGGCACAACCCTTAGCCTCCAGCTCCTCATGAACGTGAAAGAACTGGGTGCGTGCTGAGATTACAGAAGAGTAGGAAGTAGGTCGCTATTCCCAAGATGCCATGTGAAAGCCCCACCAATGAGATCCTAAGTTCCTACTCAGAATGTGACAATGACAATGCTCATAACCTCAGGAATGCTACTTTATAAGACAAAGAGAAATCCAAATAGACAAAAAGCTATGGATTATATTTATCTACAACATAAACGATGGTAGGAGTCATCAAGGTTATTATTATTTTTTTAAGTACAACAACTATTTACAAGGAAACAGAAATTGACAAGAAAGCTTAAGCACAGAAAACTTTTGCCCAATTCCACAAAACAAACAAAACTGGAAAGAAAAAAAAAAGCAAAGCAAAATGTTCCAATTGGATATGAATAAGGATTCTTATTCATGGCAAAATTTTGCAGATTCAACAAGTTCCACAGCAAATTCACTTTCACATGCATAGAATGGGCTGGATAATTTAAATTCCACAATGAGGATTCCTTTTTTTCCTTTCTTTCTTAATGATAGTGTTTCCCCTTGACTTTTAAGTTATTGGTGAAAAATTGTAAATATTTTTAGTTTCCTAGGGCAATTTTATTCACCAATAACTGAAAGCACACTAATAAACACAAACATTTCAAACTTTAAAATGGGACTGAGTCTTGAGACATAGAATGAAAATTCCTGTGATCCTGGACTACCTGGCATACCTGGAAAAAAAGAAAAAGAAAAACAACAAAATTCAACACATTGAAAACATGGAGGGTAAAATTAGGGTCCGGGCCCACTTTCGTTTACAATTATTCAGTCCTGTCAAGTTTTTGTACATAGTCACAGCTTCAGTATTCCATGATTTTAGGCTGATCACAGCTGTATTAAAACAAACTATCCTGAAACCATGAAAAATAGTTTAGCTGCTGCTTTTTTTTTAAGAAAATTTTTAGGGAAAAGAAAAGAAAGAGAGAAACCCCCTAGGCACAATTTATAAAACATGTTAAGAATTAATATTTTTAAGGGAAAAAATATCAATCTAAAACAAAAGTGTATCTACAGTCACTAGAATATTGAAATTTTTTATTGAAGGGATTTCTGAGATGGAAAAGTAGTACACTTATAAAGTACACATTCCATGCCATGCTCTGTAACAGAAGCAGTAATGATCTACAGAGACCATTTGTACTCACCAATCCTGCTGCATACATGGGTACTATGACAGGCTGCTTCTTGTTGCCCGTGAAGAGCTACACACGAGTGTTGGAGAGAAAGAAGGCATAATTAGTGAACGAACTGTCACAGGCTATTTCCCAACTTATGTTTCCAATGCACTACATACATTGTAATATACTGAAGAACCTGCTGCCCTGCCAATATCTCCATTTTATTACTAAGAAAAGACATGGAAATAACTTTTTCTAAGAATAAGAAACACTGATTACAGAGAAAAAGGTGGATTTAATGGAAAAGTTGGCATATTCAAATAGATGAATATTTAAACAAATGAATATTTATTTTCCTGAGAAGCTAACTTATCACATACTGAAGAGGCTGTAACAGAATTTTTAAACACAGTAACAAACTCACAATATTCCGGGTGTCTATTCCCAAGGAGCACAAAAGCTTCTTGTTGCTATGGGAGCCGCCCCACTGATAGCGCAAGCCATGTGCATCATGGATGTCCTGAAGTTCCGTCCACACATCCAGCAGTTCCCTACACCAACAACAGTGGGTTAGTTCAGAGCTCCCACCAGGAATTCCACTTTCAATGTGACCAGAATGGTATACATTCCAATCATCTTGTGTCTAAATGAGCATACAACTATTATCTGCATACAACTAATAACCTATAAGTTATTCCCTTTTTATTGTAAAAACAAAGAGAAATATTTAAGGAAGGAAAAAAATCATTCAGTACCTCCACCACCTTAATACAACTAATTCAATATTTGTGTTTTTTCCTTGAGTCTTGGTCCACTAACACCCGGTTATGACTGTGGTACATACATAAATCATATTTCGTGAATTTCCTAGTCTGCATGTGTATCTTTTTTAAAGGCTAAGCAATGCTGTTAGACAGATGCATCACCATTTACTCAGTCCTAATTCCACAGTTTTATAAGTTTTCACGGTTTGAATCTTGCTGTTACCAAGTGTTGTGCACTGAATTACTTCATGTGGCCCTGCCAGTCATAGTCTTTGTGGACGCCCACACATCGAATGGGTAGAATTGTTAGGACTAAGTAAATAAGGAGCGTGGAACCTTAACAAAGGGATAGCTCAGTCAAATAAAGGAGCCATTCCAAAGGCTTGGAGAGGGAACTTCATTAAAACCCCCAAACAAACCCTCTGCTGTAGAGTTGATTCTGACTCCAACGCCCTCATGACCATTAGGAAAAGAAATCTGAGAGGCGCACACATCCTTTTGGCTGGGGCCAGCACCGAGAACCCAGTCAATGCTGGGGACAGTGGTAGAAAAATGTCAGTCCCAGACCCCGGCGACTGGCTGAGGTGGCACGACGGGCTTCCCATAGAGCAAGGTAGCCACTGTGCCTTTGCAGAGCCATGCCTTGAGAGAGCCAAGTGACTTTGTAGTCATTCTTTAGAATGATTCTCTTGGGGGATTCCTGGAAGTGTGGGGTTCCTCTGGGCACGGGTAACATTTGCCTGAGCAGCCAGGCCTGAGTGGGGCAAAGGGTCGAGAGAGGAAGTCTATTCTTAGAGGGATGAGAGATGCTGAGAAAGCTGTCCTGCACTAAAGAAGCTAGACTTTGACTATATGTTTCCCCATCTCAAACTGTAACGTGATAGTTAATAAAGCCTGCAGTTGTGAGTGTGATCTGTGTGGCCTCTGCACTAGATTACTGAACCCAGCAGAGAAATGGTGTTGTAGGAGGGAAGGCTGCTGTCAGAACTGGTGACCTCTGTCTAGCAGGACTCTGCCTTGGGCTGATGCTGATCTTTGACTCTCTCCCTACCTGGTGAACTTATAGAGGAGGTCGAAAGGCCCCACCATGCCATTTTTACAGTAAAGCAATGAATACTTCCTAATATTCCATGGTATGCATTGTTGTACAGTTGTATTGATTCTTTGGCATGAATCTCTCGGGGCAAAATTAATGTATAAACTTTTATAGAAAAGAATGAACACTTTTGAATCTGTCTATACAACTAGTGTATTTGTAAAGATGAAATTTAAGGAAATTCAAGATGGCAAAATATAAACTTTTGCTGTCCTCTCTCCAGAACCACACCAAAATAAGGAACAGTATTTTCTGTAAAATTAAGAGATAATTAAGACCTTAACCCATAAACATATGAGGTCACAAAGAGGGATGAAGGAGTGGGAACTCACTCAGGAGACTGGAGAAAGGAGAGCCCTACAGAGGGAGGGAATGTCTCTGGAGGTGTGGGGTGAGATGCAAGAGAACAGCTCAGGAGAAAGAGTAACTTTGAGATTAAAATGAGAAAATCAATCTAGATACTCTACTATTCCACTAATAGGCATTCCAGAAAGAGAAAACAGGGCACTAGAAATAAAGTATCAGTCAGAGTACTTGTATAAGAAAATGGCCCTTCAAATTCAGTGGGCAGGAGTCCTGCCCATGCCAACAAGGGTAATAATATTTCTTAAAAATTCAAGTTAAACATCTAATTCACTGTATACATATTTGTATATACTTACATATAGTAATTTTCCTTAATACAGAGATTACGGCCAGGGGCTTAAGTGGAAGCAAATGTTTTGAGAATGATGAGGGCAATGAATGTACAAATATGCCTTACACAGTTGATGTATGTATGGATTGTGATAAGAGTTGTACGAGCCCCTAATAAAATGATTTAAAAAAAAAAGAATCCGTATGAGACTTCCTTACATTTTATTTATTCATGCTGTGTGTGTACTTATCAATATAATGGTTAAAAATTTACAATGAAAAAAATACAGAGATTATGAATTGTACTCCAGAAAATAAAAAAGCTGTCCCATACTAAAGAATGGAACCTCCAGACAGCAAGGCCTCCCTAATGCTCAACCCAATAAATGAAAAGAAGGCCCACATCAAGGCTGTGGTATTTCAAACCACTAACAACAGTGGGGAGATCCTGCGCTAAGAGGTGAGTGTGAGGACAAAATGAATTAAAAATGTACCCCGTAAGCTCCCTTATCCAGAGGGAGCTAACAAGGAACCCAAGTGAGGGCAGCAGCTGTACAGCATGCGTGTGGGAGGCCCACGTGGAAGCCATTCCAGATTGGAACAGGAAGACAATAGAACACGTAATTTCATTGGGTTGACCACAAGTAAAATTGTATTAGAGGCTGTTGGAGGATATTTAAGGCTTAGTAAATGAGTAAAAAATAAAGGCAGTTATTAAGTCTAAATAAAATCTATGCTATAGATCCTTGAACTAACTACAAGCTTTTCTTTCTTGGTGTATTTTAATTTGTTCTTTGTCAGTGGCTTGATGTTGTTGCTGTTTTGTTGTACATTGTTGCTTGGTTTTGCTCTGTCTTGTTTTTGTGCATGTTGT